ATTAAAAATCAGATGGATGACAGGATTTTTCCTTGACGGCACCCATATGGTAACGTGTTCTGCGTGATAAATACTTACTTCATTAATATATTCTGAACACTTAATAATATGAACATTTTATTTATCATTACATATGATTATTGAACATATTATAATCTTAAATTGTGAACCAGCACAATAGTGAACCAGCACTTGTGTCCAGCACTTATTAAAAATTACGATTTAAAAATATTATATACGGAAAAAGGAATGACTTAAATTGTGAGCCAGCACTAATTTAAAAATTAAGAATTACTATTCTGTTATAATGTATAAGAGAGGGGGGAATGATTTTAAAGATGATTTGATGAAAGAAATATGTATTAAATTGGTGTGTAATGCGTACTGTACAGTGCAAATGTATGAAGTTAAAAGTTGAAACCTCAAAACTGGGTTTCTCTTTTTCACAATTAAAAAAATTTTCCCGTACTAAGCATAGAATGTCTATTATACTGGCACAAGCCCTTCATAACTTGAAACACCGAATCTACGGTTTGCAATAAATATATCAGCAAAAAAGTCCTGTATTGAATTAATTACTCCAAAAGATGTAGTTGGGTCCCCTTCAAAAGTTCCATGCACTGCCGGCTCGTACGATTCAACGTACGAATGTGCATGGAACGATCTTTTGGCGCTATTAATTTATAAAAATATAATTAATAAATATTTAAATTGTAGACAAATAAGGGGATCGTTTAAAGCAGGACGCAGTCACGTGATACGTGGCCAATAAATCTGATTGTTTTGTTCAACCCGAATCAGCCCGACGAAGAAAAAAAAGAGGGAAAAAACGAAAAAATACAAGAAAAAAAATGTCGGGAAGGCAATTTTACTATAAAACTTGCCCTTACCCTAACCTCCGACTAACCCTTATCCTAACTTTAATTAAAATGTCAAAATCATATGACTGCACCCTGCTTTAAGCGACCCCAAATAAGGAAGAGAGATTACTACTTACGCCCAAATAAAGAAAATAATAAAACATTCTATTAATAGTATAAGAATTAAAATGACTGTACAATTTATTCTATGATATAGTTTTTTAGGTATAGCTAATGCTATATGAAAAGGAATCAAAATATATAGTAGCAGATTCTTAATTATGCCTAATAGAAAATTCGTGGATTGTTGTATTGATCTTGTGGGTGATGGTGGTGGTGATGTAATTTGAATTGTCTAGGCAATAAATGGTCGATTAATTTGATATGGTACCATACAATATACTTTTTAAAGAACAAACCTTGTTAACTTTTCTTTTTTTCGTCACTTTTGCCAGTAAACGCTCGATATCTTCTTGAAGTCTTAAGACATCTCTTTCTAGATCTTCTGCTACCTTTGTTTTCGTCCCAAACTTTGCCAAAAGAAACTTCAATTCACTCTGTAATTGAACAATATATCAAGAATGTAAGCATCATAAAATTATTTTCATAAGTTGCACTTAAGTATTTATCACGCAGAACACGTTACCATATGGGTGCCGTCAAGGAAAAATCCTGTCATCCATCTGATTTTTAAT